TGACAAATTACTCGACAATATAACTAATGAAGAGTATAAACACTCGCACGTAATTAACGCGTAAACGAAGTACACACAGAAAATTCTTTGGCAAGAAGTTTTGCAGTCGTTGATGCTAAGCTTTGCTCGTGTCCCTCATTCCTGTGTCATTTACATTGAAACGGGATTAAATGCCGCCAATTTCAGCCTAAAGATTTGCTGAGAGTCTTAGGATGAGGCATTACTAGGATATCGCGGCACTCGAACCGTTAGAACTTTCGAATTATTGTTCAATTATTGTTTAAGTTGCCGAACGTCAAGGGTAATAAAAACATTTTTTTCTTTTAAAGTAATCTTCTTTATAAACGAAAACGACCCTTTAAAAAGCCGACTTTTTAGTTTTACATATTATTTCATTACTATTCTTTGACAAAAAATATAGGGTTCCACAGGTCCCGCAGGTTCCACAGGTTCCACAGGTTCTACAGGTTCCACGGGTTCCACGGGTTCCACGGGTTCCACAGGTTCCACAGGTTCCATAGGTTCCACAGGTTCTGCGGACTGCTGATGCGTAGTTTAGTAACACCCGACCTCAGCGAGATGCAACCATGAAACACGTTGACGAAGGGTCCGCTGAAAGAAAACGAAAGTGCTTACGTTTGGAAAAAACATTCTCGTTAACATTCTCATCAAAGCGTGATGCAAAAATAACTGTCGATGACAACCCATATCTTAAAAAAACAGTTGTATTACAGTGCGTGTAGACGCCAATTTGTTGGAAACCAGGAGATTGACGTTATAACAAATAGTGTCATCTGAGTAAGAGAACTCTGACAAAAACGCTTATTAAAAAAAAGATAAAATTATTTTAGGAAAGCCCGTTTACAAAGAGGTGATCGAAAGTTCGTCATGCTCAGAGATTTTCGTAAGATTTTTCTTTCGGCGCTACACTGTTTACATGAAGGAAGGCAAGGACACGTAACCTTATGGTTGCGTAACCATTCAATATCTGCTCGCGAGGAGATTGAAAGTTCTCGATCTTACATGAAAAACTAGAATCTAATTGCATTGGAGTTCACATGCGCGCGGGATGTTGGGGATCAATTAAACTCGACAACATAGATTGACGACCCTTCTCTTAACGAATATGTACTTTCACATGTTTCAACGATTTCGGCGTAAAATCGTTATG